TGGCAGCACTGGAAAACCATTTTTCCACTAACGTCTACATGCTCCACGACAATCCTTGCTCCATAGTGTCCGACAAAGACTCCATCTTCCTTAGCCAGTTTTGGCTTGAGTTATTCTAGCTCCAAGGTACTACCTTGAATTTTTTGACAGCCTACCATCTAGAAACCGATGGACAACGGAGGTCGTGAACTGTTCCCTCTCTTCCTATCTTCGATGTGTTACTGGTGACTTTCCCTGTCGTTGGTATTCAGTGCTTCGTTTGGTAGAGTTCTGGTACAATAATTTGTACTACTTTGCTATCGACACCCCTCCTTTTTAGGCCCTTGACGATCGCCCTCCATTGGCAATTCGAGACTATATTCTTGAATCTTCTTCAAACACGGCTACTGAGACCCTTCTCCAAGATCGCGCCATGAACCTGCGCCTAATTAAAGAACAACTATTACATACCCAACAAAGAAAGAGGGACCAAGCACATAAGGGTTGTATCAACGTTACCTTTGAAGTAGGTGACTGGGTCCTGTTAAAGATGCAGTCGTACCGTCAACGCTTCTTAGCTAGGCCTGTGTTGCACAAATTTGGTCGCCGTTAACATGGGCCCTTCCAAGTCATCCTGATGGCATCCTTCCTAGCATTGATGGATAGATGTTGATCAATGAGAAGGAAACCTTGACTCCTTGGATCAAGGTCTTCAAAGGCGCAAGGAATGGTGAAGGAAAGGTGGAGATGGACGTTGAAGGTGAAGTGTTTGAGGGAATGTTTGAGAGGTGCACTCTAGGTTTGGCTCACTCCAAGGTAAATGAAGGTCACTTCTAGGGTTTTTCTCTCAAGGTGGAGATAGGATGGGAGGTGGCCGAAAATAGCCAAGGGGACTAAGGATGATATAAAGGCAAAATGTTCTCTTTATATTCAATATCCAAAGTATTTACAAGGTGTGGTGCCTTGGGTATTTATAGGAGTGGGAGGCATCTACGGTTGCATTTAGGGTTCCTTGGCCAAAATTCACCTTGCCAATGCACACCAAATGAAACCTAAATTAACCCTAGATGCAACTTGGTGGCCAAGGATAGAATCTTTGGGTTTAGTTAGGCTACATCTAGGTGCATGATAAGATCATGCAACCTTTGCCCTCCACTTGGGCCTAAGCCTTTCTAAGTCCAAAAATAGGTCCAAAGCTACCAAAAAAATTGCGTTACCCTCCTAATTAAAACCCTAGCCCAAAAATTAAAACCCTATTATCTAAAGCACCCCATAATACAAGGGTAAAATTGAAAATACAAATAAAATAAATTCTGACTAAAATATCCCAAAGTACAAGGGTAAAATTGGAATAAAGCAATAAAATTCTATGTTACTCAAATTGGGCCTAGGAGATGGATCCATACATGATATCTCTTTTATCTTCCTCCATTCTCCTAACCATGATCCATGAGGATGGTCCTCCATCAGTTAAGTTCCTCTTTCTTTCCTATACCTATTTCAAGAGGATTCGTTCATGCTTTATAATCTTATCATTTGGTTTCAGAGCTTCGACTCTTGAATCTGGTGTTATCTATCCTTTACCCTTTTATCTTTTTTAATTAAAAGAAATGGATGTTGCTCTCAAGTTGTTAATGAAGGATTTTCAAACAGGATTCCAACTCCAAAATGCAAAATTAGATAATCTTGAATTTTCGTCTAGATCTAGAAATCTGAGGCAACACACTTATAAAAGGGAGTATTCAAATGGGCATTATTAGTGGATAAAAATAAGAGAGTGGAGAAATAAAAAGAAGTTGAAATTGAAAGAATTAAGAAATACAGATAATAGAAAATGAGTTCAAAGAAATTGAGAGAGAAAGAAACATAACAAACAACTTTATGTTCTAACCCTTTTCTTATAAGCAATGATTCTTTATTAAAGGGTTTTGATGAAGTTGTTCCAATGAAGGAATGCAAATCATCAAATGAAAACGAATTTGAATCTTCAAAAATGCAAGTTTTTGAAATAGTTGAAGGAACTCATTATGGATTTATTTCTTCTTTTCAACCTAATCCTATAAATTCTTTTGTTTTTATGCCTAAAGAATAATTGCACACAAAGATTCTATGGGCACAACAATTCAAGGAGATAGTGGATCCATATACAAAGTAAGAAGAAGTATTTGATTCGAGGACGAATCACATCAAAGAGGGAGGGAATGATAGGCACATGTAAAGGTTCAATACTTTAAAATATGATAATCAATTGATGGAAGACCCAATGAAAGGAAGATGATCAAAAAGAGTTAAAAATAAAAAATTGAAGAGCCTAATTAGCCCAACACCAATTACTAAAGATGCTACAGTGGGTTGGACTTTATTTGGATGGTTTACTTAGCTTTTGGGCTTAAAAGTTATTTAAGCCTTTTTCTTATTTTTATTGTAATTTTTTTTATTTATATTTATTAAATAAATCAAATGGTTTTTTCCTAGTCCATTATTGCTTCTTCTTGATTCACATCACTTGTGTAATCACTTTTGAATTAATAAAGAATTTCAAAAAAATTCTTCAGCCTTATTCTCTCTCAAAGGTCACCAAATGCAAGATTTAGTCTAGGAAAACCTTTCTCTTCCTACACTTGAAAGTGAGCATTCCTTTGAGTCTTTAGCTTGGATGCTTCCATCCTTAGCCTAGAGGATCTTTCTTACCGATTCTCTCTTCTTCCTCAACCATTCAATCGGTGGAATTCTCAAGGAGGAGATCATTACATCTGGAGGAGGTCAAAAGGAGCAAGAACACTTCCATTGATCCAACCAACTCCATCACCTCGGCCTGGTAGATAGTGGGCCTTTTCTCTGGCCGATGCCATCCCTCTTATAAGCATCTAAGGCAGATTTGAAATTAATACATATATGAGTTTTCCCTTTGTGAGAGCTTTTCTTTTGTTCTTGGATTAGAACTTTATAGTGCTGGTTCTACTAGCAAGTCACGATTAAGGTCACAATTCTGCCAAGGATAGAATCTTTGGGTTTAGTTAGGCTACATCTAGGTGCATGATAAGATCATGCAACCTTTGCCCTCCACTTGGGCCTAAGCCTTTCTAAGTCCAAAAATAGGTCCAAAGCTACCAAAAAAATTGCGTTACCCTCCTAATTAAAACCCTAGCCCAAAAATTAAAACCCTATTATCTAAAGCACCCCATAATACAAGGGTAAAATTGAAAATACAAATAAAATAAATTCTGACTAAAATATCCCAAAGTACAAGGGTAAAATTGGAATAAAGCAATAAAATTCTATGTTACTCAAATTGGGCCTAGGAGATGGATCCATACATGATATCTCTTTTATCTTCCTCCATTCTCCTAACCATGATCCATGAGGATGGTCCTCCATCAGTTAAGTTCCTCTTTCTTTCCTATACCTATTTCAAGAGGATTCGTTCATGCTTTATAATCTTATCATTTGGTTTCAGAGCTTCGACTCTTGAATCTGGTGTTATCTATCCTTTACCCTTTTATCTTTTTTAATTAAAAGAAATGGATGTTGCTCTCAAGTTGTTAATGAAGGATTTTCAAACAGGATTCCAACTCCAAAATGCAAAATTAGATAATCTTGAATTTTCGTCTAGATCTAGAAATCTGAGGCAACACACTTATAAAAGGGAGTATTCAAATGGGCATTATTAGTGGATAAAAATAAGAGAGTGGAGAAATAAAAAGAAGTTG